TGATGAATATGCTTTATGTTCTATAGTTAATATTTTAAGGAATGAAACTGATTTCTCTACCTGTAAAAACTGACAAAAATAACAGCCGTTAACTGAAAAATCAGCAAAATTACTGAATAGGCAACAAACAGCAATCAAGGATTTATCAGGTGGCTTTTAGAAGAATAGACTTCCTAGTAGACGAAAAGGAAACTCTTGAGTAGTGAAAATTATTCTGAGGCAACTGGATATATCAGAACTACTGGACTTTGCTGTTCAAGGTCCGATCCTAATTATCATTATGTATTTTTATTTGTTTGTTCTTTTTATGTTCTCGTTCCTTTGTATCTCCATTAAGCATGCATATAGCCAGCATCCGGTTGAGCCCTGCAAGAATAACTGTAGAAGATCACCAGGCTGAGCCCGAGGAGTCAAGAGCAACATCAGTCTTGAGTCCCTTTGCGCCTTTCATTTCATCACAGCTAGTCTTCAAGTTACAATTGGTCGCTTAACTGGTCCCCCCAGGTCACATGATTGCACTGTGTATGCTTAGCAACTGCCTGCATTCACAGCTGTTTGCAATATCCTGCAGTCAAATAGACTAGACTAGACTTCTTTATTGGCTGCAAATTAACCAGCATGAGGATCCAGATTGTTGGGGGGCAATACGCTGACTCTGTAAACCACTTAGAGAGGACTGTTAAGCGGTATATAAGTCTAAATGCTATTGCTATTTACTTCTATTTCTGGCAAAAACCACCAACTAGGGACAATGGATTAACTTAATGAGTGCAGCATTTGTTTAATGGCAATGTTCACATTACCACCATCATGTTCATTTAATGACCACTAAAGAAAAGTTTGTAAAATTGATCCGTCACATCACGGGTGTCAAACTTGCAGCATGCTGCGGCATGTGATGTCCTGTGACGCTTTTCCCCCTTCACGGAGCTGGGGTTGGCATGGCCTGTGAGTGATGCATCTCGCCCACGGGCTGCCAGTTTGACACCCCTGAGTCACATGATTAACCACTTAATAACCACCCCTGAGTCACATGGTTAACCACTTAATAAACCTACAGATTTAGGACTGTAATCCCGGCTGAAATAATGACTGTATGTCAAGGACTACTATTGCAAGCGAACTAGTACCTTAGGGCCATCTTGGGTGATATTTAATCTGTGCAACACGTGTTGAGAAAAGGCTCGGAATAATCCTGTCCCGTGACAGCCGGAGATCTGCAATTAGACCAGACACAGGAATAAAATGTAAACATTTATGCTTTAATTTTCTATCATATATAGAGTGAGGAGGGGAGGGGGAATAAAAATCATCAAGTTTATTCAGACCCAAGTATCCAGCTTGTTTTGTTTTGTTTTAAAAAGCGGTAATCTCACCAGATTTACTCACCAATGGTGTATTATAAAACAAGCCAAACCTCATTCGAGGCAATAGGGTAAAAACTGCTTCTTTGAAGCAGACCTGGAAAAAAAGATTAACAATTTACAAGGATTTTCCTTAATATATAAGGAGCGAGGCAAATAAAGAGTGCAGAGAAGAGCAACAAAGATGATTAGGGGACTGGAGACTAAAACATATGAAGAACGGTTGCAAGAATTGTGTATGTCTAATATAATGAAAAGCAGGATTAGGGGAGATGTGATAGCAGTGTTCCAATGTCTCAGGGGATGCCACAAAGAAGAGGGAGTCAAGCTACTCTCCAAAGTACCTGAGGGCAGAAGCAATGGATGGAAACTAATCAAGGAGAGAAGCAACCTAGAACTAAGGAGAAATTTCCTGACAGTGTTAGTGGAATGACTTGTCTCCAGAAATTGTGGGTGCTCCAACACTGGAGACTTGACAAATATTTGTCTGAAATGGTATAGGGCTTCCAGCTTGAGCCAGGAGTTGGACTAGAAGACCTCCAAGGTCCCTTCCAACTCTGTTATGAAGCAGGATCTATTAACAGTGCAATGGAAAGTAGTTCACAATATTTTTGATAACTTTGTTGTACACTGCCCAGAGTCACTTGTTTTGTGAGATGGGTGATTTTTCTTGTGATATATGATAATTATAAACTCTCGTAATATAAAATATTTTCAAGAAGTATTGCAATGGTAGTTTAATGGTAGAGGTTATGGTATGATTATGAAAGGTAACTGGCATCATGTTACCATTCCAGACATGTACTTTCATTTACTAATTTCTACTACCACGGACAACAAAAGTTTGAATTATTTGTTATTTATTTATTATTAGACTTCCATGTCGCCCATCTCGCCAAGGTGACTCTAGGCAATTATAGGAGGCTTTTGATATTGGCTTTTGATATTTCCTGCAAATTGTAGCAAATATATTGTGGTTTATATTTATATCCCCAGAGTGAAATTTATATATATATATATATATATATATATTTATATTTATATTTATATTTATATTTATATTTATATTTATATT